CTCCTCCTCCTCCTCCTCCTCCTCCTCCTCCTCCTCCTCCTTCTTGATTTTTCAAGACAGGGTTTCTCTGTGTAGCTTTGGCTGTCCTGGTCTTGCTTTGTAGACCAGGCTGGCCTTGAACTCACAGAGCTCCGCCTGCCTGTGCCTCCTTGAGTGCTGGGATTACAGGTGTGTCGCTGGGCCCAGCAGACGTGGACCTGAGTAAGGGGGGATGCTGTGGAGATAGGAAGGCTGGTGATTGCAGGGTAGGCAGCAAATTGTCGGATTTGGGATATACAGCTCCCAAGCCCAAATGCTTAAGGCCAGAACTGTCTCGAATTTCGGAGTATATACATGTATATAATGAGATATTTTGGAGGTAGAACCCAAATCTAAATGCAGAATTCATTTGTATTTTATGTATACCTTGTACACGCAGCCTGTGGTGTAGCAGACAATGTTTTTTAGTGACTTCATATGTGAAGCAAAAGTCTGTTGCTTATTGAACCATCAAAAGTCAGGTGTCCTTTGCAACATTCAAAATTTTTGGATTTTGACCAGCGGTTGTACACACCTTTAATCCCAGTATTTGGGAAGCAGAGGCAGATGAAGCTTTATGAGGCCAGCCTGGTCTATTTAGTGAGTTCTAGACAAACCAGAGTAACACAGTCAGACCTTGTTGTCAGCCCACCCCCACCACCACCACAACAACAACAAAAATGGATTTGGGAGCATTTTGGACTTTCAGGTTAGAAGTGCTCAAGATTTGCTGATGGTGGGTAATGGGTAGGAGAAATTGAGGGGTACAACATAACACCACAGTGTAGATTATGCAGAGGTGAAAAAATGATCTTCCTCTCCACTGGTATCAGAAAACCTGCAGGATCAGCAAGTGTCGGGGGAGGGCTAGAAATTCAGCTTCAAATTCAGTATTTGATTAGAGGTACCTATGAGACCCATGAGTAGCAAAATTGGATGTCAGCACTGGCTAGAACTGGATTTTAGGTGGAGAGATAGAAGTATTTAAAGTCAAGTGACAAGAGAGGCCATCAAGAAATAAATGTAGATAAGAGGATAAATGAACTCCAGGAGTCTGTGAACATTAAAGGGAGGAGCAGAGCCAGGTGGGGATGGCATTCCAGAGGCAGGCAGATCTCTGTGAGTTCCAGGCCATCCTGGTCTACAAATCAAATCCAGGACAGCTAAGGCTACACAGAGAAACCCTGTCTCCAAAAGAAAGGGGGTGGGTGGGCAGAGAGTGGAATTAGCAAAAAAAATGAGAGGGAGTTGTTAGGGATGCAGGGCAAGTCAAGTGCACAGTGTCCTGGAAGCTAGATGAGGAAACTCAAGGGCCTGACATCAAATACCAGGGACAACTGGAGTGAACGAGGCCTGAGACGCGACCACGGGAACATTCATGTATAAATCGAGAGGCATGTTTTCTCTAGATGGTAGGTGACTCCTAGATCTTGGACATATGGTGAAAGGGAGACTCTACCATGCAGATCCAAAGGATTTTTAAATAGATGAGGAAGTAGATGAACAAATTTACATTTTAGAAGTTTGGGTTACGATAGTTGATGGCAAAGACACTTGCATTTACATGATGTATGTCATGTCATCAATGTGGTTACATACGTGCCTGTAAGGCTAGCCCCATAATCAGGATAATGTATACAGCCACACACGGCGTACCTTCTTAGGTGTGAGTTGAAGGGTTATACAACAGTTGTCCCATGAGATGATGCCACCTGGTGATATCAGAGCCATCCTAGTATCAGCATTTTTATAATTTGCACAATGAAATCACTCAGTGTATTTCTTAGAGTGTGTCTGATTGTTAAGCACATAATTGACACCTAAACCCCTAAAATGTTCCTCATGGCCCTGGTAATCTCTTCTTCCTGTCAACTCTAGTCCCAGAGTCCACTCATCTGCTTTCTGTAATTGTATTTTCTATAAAGTATAGTTCTGTTCTCTATAACTATAGTTTTTGCTATAACTGCAAATACTCTTTCATTTCCTGGAATTTTCTTTAAATAGCATCTAGTATATACTCACTTTGTCATCTTCCATTCGTCATAATTATTTTGAGACTCATCCATGTCATTTGTCAATAGTATATCCATATTGATATTCATTCTTTTTGTAGCTAATACTCCACTGTGTGGATAGACCTGTCCCCGTCCTAAGGTGTGTGTGTGCATGTGTGTGTGTGTGTGTGTGTGTGTGTGTGTGTTATTCTGGGAATTAAAAATGGCCTTCATTTGTACTGTTAGTGGCCTCTCATACCTCTCATTGAGCTACATCCCATCTCTGATCATATGTTATTTATCTGTTCACTTAAACAGCATCATTTAGGTGATTTCCAGTCTTTAGCTGTCCCTTATTTCTAATGGCATTATATTTAGTAAGAGGCATTATTTGAAAATTCACACTGAGTAGTAACTCTTAAAACATCAGATTTTTTTTTTCCTTCTGACAGTATGTTTAAACCCATCTTCTCCATTCCTCCACTCCCATCCTCCCCTTCGCCTTTATCCTCATGGCACAATTCAACTGAAGTTTAATCGTAGATTGCACATTACTAAGAGTTAAGGAATGGTGAGGGAGTGAATGATGAAGAATTCTAGGCAGCCAGGATGTAGATATTTTGGGGAAGTAACAAGAAGCAGAAGCAAACAACCAAACAGAACAGACTAAAGTTTGTCTGGGGAAGAAGATGAAGGGAAAGGGCTGTGGGGGAAAGGTATCTTAAGAGAAGACATCTCCGATGTGTTTACAATAAGATGAAGATAAGCGGAAGGAGAGGAGATATTTGGAGGGAAAAGATCAGAGAACTACAGTGAAGTGATTACCTGTACTTGAAACAGGGTCACATAGTCCTCTAAAACACTACCAGAGGTCAGTACCATGTTTAATCATGCCTTTCATGTTTACAGTGTACACAGAAATCTTACTGAGCTGCTTGTAGACCTCATTTGGGGGCTAAAGATATAGGTGACTCCAAGGTACAGCACTCACATACATGAGACCCTAGATTCAACCCCCAGTGCCACACATGGACATCCACCACCCCCACAGGAAGTAAACTGATTGTTTCTATGGGTTAAACGTGTATGACCAATGACTAAATCGTTGTTTTTTTTTTCTAGGTAGTAACTGTGGCATCCATGACCTTTTTCATCATCGCACAAGCCCCCGAACCGTACATCGTTATCACTGGGTTTGAACTCACCATTATTTTCTTTTTCATAGCTTTGTATATATGCAGACTTGACAAAAAGATGAGATGGCTGTTTTGGCCTTTGCTTGTAAGTGATCAGTTTCGACCTTAAAGCGTAACTACTTTTTCCTGACATAGGAAGGCACTGTAGCCAACTACTTAGTTCTCCTAAATGTTTAAGGTGATCTCTGTTCATTGCTACAGGCCCCATGTTTTCTTGGGGAAGGTTCTCAGAGATTCAGGGCAGGCACAGAACATAAATTCTCCTTACTGCATCTACCAGTAGGTGTGGCTGGCCTTTCTGTTTGGAGAATTCTCTTAAGTATAAATGTTCTAAAGAAATTTAGATTTAGAACCATGTTAATAAATTAGAGCATGCTTTTAACTTTTGCCTCCTTTTTCTTTATCCTGCTTTCTTTGCTTACTGAAAATAGATCCTTTTCTCGTACACTATATCCTGATTACAGTTTCACCTCCCCTCCCCTCTGGAACCACTCTCTTTCTGTCTCTAATAGATAACCAAACATGGCAAAATAAAAGATAAACAAAGCAAAAGCTATCATATCAAAATTGCACACTGCAACCCAACAGGAGTAAAAGAGTCCCAAGAGCAGGCACAAGAGTCAGAAAAGTCAGGACACCCATAAAAACAAACAAAACAAAAACTAAGCTATAATATATATTCAAGGACCTGGCACAGAGCTGTGTTAGTCCTGTGCTTGCTGCTTCAGTCTCTATGAGCTCACATGCATCCTGCTTAGTTAATTCAGAGGACCTTATTCTCTAAGTATCCCTCTATCCCTTCAAGCTCTGACAATCTTTCTGCCTCCTCTTCTGAGGGATTCCCTAACTTCTGTCTGTGGTTCTCTGCATCTGCTCCCATCTACTGCTGGAAGCAGCATCTCTATCTATGAGTATATCAGAATATCATTAGGAATCATTTTATTGATTTTGTTTTTAGACCAGTAGTGTTTGGTTTTACCTTAAATCTCTGGACTATCTAGTCTCTGCTTCTTGGTTACCCAAGGACTGTCAGGTATGAGTTCCTTCTCATTGAGTGAGCCTTTAGTCACATCAAACCCTGATTGGCTATTCCCACATGTTCTATGCCACCATTGCCCTAGCATATTTTGTAGGCAGGACAATTGCAGGTCAAATGTTTTGTGGCTGGGTTGGTGTCCACATTTCTCTTTTGGTAGCCTGCAGAGTACCTTCCCACATCAGACATGCTAGAACATAAGGGTGAGGGGTCCATGTAGTCACAAGCTGGACTTCTCCATGTTCAATTAGTTTGGTGGGTTTATTGTCCTTGGCGATGGGCCCCACTGTTAGCTTACAGGGAGCAACCTTTTATCTTAACAACAACAACCTGGGTTGTTTGGGTATTTCCACGGAACCCCCAGACCAGCAACTCAATTGAATGCATCTCTTGTAGCCAGGAAAGGCTTCTAGTCCCACCACTGGAAGCCTCACCCGGCTACAAGAGATGGCCAGTTGAGACTCTGTATCCCCCATGACTGAAAGTCCTCATTAGGATCACTCTTATATGTTCCAGGAAGTTTCCACTGCACTGGGTTTCAAGGCCACCCCACACATGCCCCCTACCAGTTCCAGCGGTCTCTCTCCGAACTCTCTCTTTTTAACCCATCTCCCCCAACCTCATACCCCTGCTCAAATCTCCACCCCCCCCCCAAGTCCAACCATAAGATTTTTTCCATATCCCCCTCCCAGGGAGATCCCTTCATCCCCCGCACCTCCTCCTCTTTACCTAACCTCTCTGTCTACAGATGTAGCTTAGTTAAGGATTGATTAGTTATTAACATTTACTTAATGGCTAATATCCACTTATTGAATATATACCATATTTATCTTTCTGGGTCTGGGTTCCCTCACTCAAGATGTTGTGGTTTTTTTTTTCCCCCTCTAGTTTCATCCATTTGCATGCAAATTTCATGATGTCACTTTTTAAAAAGCAGCTGAGTAATACTCTGTTATATAAATGTGCCACATTTTCTCCATTCTTCTCTTGAAGATCATCTAGGTTGTTTGAAGTTTTTGGCTGTTATGAATAAAGCTGCGATTAACATAGTTGAGCAAATGTTGTTGTGGTAGGTTGGAGCATCCTGTGGGTACAGGCCAAGAGTGGTATAGCTGGGTCTTGAGGTAGACTGATTCCAAATGTTCTGGAGAACCACTACATTGGTTTCCATAGTGGCTGTACAAGTTTGCACACCTACCAGAAATGAAGGTGTGTTCCCCTCCCTCCACATCCTCCCCACCACAAACTGCCACTTGCATCACTAATCTTAGCCATTCTGACAGGTGTTAAGATGGAATCTCAAAGTACTTTTGATTTGCATTTCCCTGATGGCTAAGGATGCTGAACATTTCCTTGTTTGTCGGCCATTTCAGATTCCTCTGTTGAAAAAAATTCTGTTTAGACCTGTACCCAAATTTTAATTGGATTATTTGGTTTATTTATGTCTAGTTCTTTATATATTTGGATGTTAGTCCTCTATCAGATGTAAAGTTGGTGAAAATCTTTTACCATTCTGGAGGCTGCCGCTTTGTCCTTTAGACAGTGTCCTTCACATTACAGAAGCTTTTCAGTTTCATGAGGTACCATTTGCTAATTGTTGATCTTCGTTCCTGAGCTGTTGGTGTTTTGTCCAGGAAGTTTTCTCCTGTGCCAATGAGTTCAAGGCTGTTCCCCACTTTATCTTTTATCAAGTTCAATGGGCCTGGTTTTATGTTGAAGGCTTTGATCCACTTGGACTTGAGTTTTGTGCAAAGTGATAAATATAGGTCTATTTGCATTCTTCTCCATGTAGACATGCAGTTAGACCAGCACCATTGTTGAAAATGCTGTCTTTTTCTTGTGTGTATTTATGGATTCTTTATCAAAAACAGGTGGTCGTATGTGTACAGATTTATCTGGGTCTTCAATTCAATTCCATTGATCAATGTGTCTTTTTATACCAATTTTGTGCAGTTTTTATTACTGTAGCTCTGTGGTAAAATTTGAAATCAGGAACAGTGGGACATCCAGCAGTTTTTTTTTTTTTTATTATTCAAGATTGTTTCAGCTATCCTGGGTTCTTTGTTTTTCCACATGAAATCTAGAATTGTCCTTTTAAGTTCTGTAAATTAAATGTTAATTCTGCCAATCAATATCTTTCCAATTTCTTTTTTCAAAGACTTGAAGCTCTTGTCATACAAGTCTTTTACTTACTTGGTTAGAGTTACCTCCAAGATATATTATCTGAGGCTATTGTGAGAGGTGTTGTTTCCCTGTTACTTCCCAGCCCATTTGTCATTTGTCTATAGGAGGGCTACTGACCTTTTTTTAAAGTTACTCTTGTATGCAGCCACTTTGCTGAAGTGCTTACCAGCTGTAGGAATTCCCTGGTGTTAGCTTCTATGAGCTAACCTATCGCCCACAAAATAATAATACTTTCACTTCTTTCTTTTCAATTTGTTTCCCCTTGATCTTCAATTGTCTTATTGCTCTAGCTAAAACTTCAAGCACTATATTGAAGAGATATGGGGAGAGTGAACAATCTTGTCTTGCCCCTAACTAGTGGAATTGCTTTGAGTTTCTCTCCATTTAATTTGATGTTTTGCCTTTTTAAATGCATGTGGATATAGCTTCAGAATTGGGAGCTTCAGAGACAGGCAGCTACGCAAGGCAGCTACACAGCCTTGCCCATCCCTCATCACAAAATGGAAACTCAAACTATTTGAGAAAGTTCAATATAATTTGATTGTATTTGAAAATTCTGTAGTCGTTCATGATAATTCCAACTGATCTTGCTGAACCATGTTTTGTAACATTAGACTTCAACTGCCAGACTCATAGCATTAGGAATAGCGTCCCCATCAAGTGCCCCAGTGGCTACCACAGCTGTCACAACAGACAAATGGAAATTATTAGGTGAGGTCTATGTGGTGCTTCAGCCAGGGACTACAAAGCCAGTTCTAGCAAAAACTGATTAACTTTTACCTCTCTCTTCTCTCTCAAGTCACATCCAGCATTCCTGCCTCCATGGGTCTCCCCTGTGCCTCCCACTCTGTCCCCTCTTTGGCTAGACAGGTAATGGCCACTTCTTCCTCTGCTGCACTTGTCATGTCCTCTTGGATTCTGAAATGCTTACATGCAAGTTGCAGGGTCTTTGGGTGGAAATGTTGTTAACGCCTGCAGCTTGGGAGGAGAACTAGAGCTGAGGTGCCGGTAATTGGGCTCAAAGAGAACACTGTGCCCGTAGAAGTTCCCTGGTAGGCTTTCTCCAGGGTGGCAGGTCACATGCAGATGAGGCCAAGAACCAAAAAAGAGGCAGCTTATAATCAGGAGGCCATGGCTGGCCTAATTTCCTATTTTCTGAGGAAATTCAAGGGATAAAGGCAGCAGTCGTGGGGCCCCTGCACGGTGAGTAGGAGAGCCAGCAAGCACTTTCCCTATTATTAACGTGAAGGAGGCGGGTGGCCAAGGACCACATGTCCTCTGTCGGGAGCAGGAGGAAATGATAAACACTGATGTCCTACAGCCAGTGCCCCTGACTAGAAGATGCTGGTCTGTCTGTCTGCCCTTGGATCTGTCATTCATACCCACGCCCTGACACAATCTGTATGCCAGGCCTCTGTTGCCATCTAGCACCACCCCCGACAGATTATGAATGAAAGAGCTGACCCAGAGCTTTGGGGTTCAAAATTACTATGACATCTCCATTCTTTTTTTGTAATTAAATTTTCATGCTACTTCATAGCCTGTTGAGGGGTTGGGGCTTTCTTGTTCTTTCTATTTTTGTTCTGTGACAGGATCTCACTCAGTAGCCTTCGCTGTCCTGGAATTCACTATCTAGACCAGGCTGCCCTTGAACTCACAGAGAACGGTGTGCCTCTGCCTCCCGAATGCTGGGGTTAAAGGTGTGTGCCACCATACCTGCTGCATATTGAGCTTTCCATGTAAAGACAGTGTTTTGGGTTGGGTGTGCTAGCTTACATTTATGATCTCAGCATGCAGAAGACTGGAGCAAGAAGCCTCTGAGCTGAGGGTCCTTCTGGGCTACATGATGAATACCAGACCAGCCTGGGCTACAGCCTGAAACCCTGTCTCAAAAAAACAAGACTAAATAAACAAACACAATGTCCTAAGTTTCCACTAGGGAGCATAAGCATTTTGAGATAAGCACATCCTTCCCTTCCCATTCCCCATGGGTCTATGCACTCCCTAGAATACAACTTTTGTACAAACCCATCTGCAGCTTAATTCATAGGTGTTACAGCTGCCAGATTGGGGTGGTGAGCCCTGGCGCCTTGAAGCAGACCAAAGTATCCAGTCAAAAGGGATTTCACCCAAGACAACCGGTCTCATTGTCTGCTTCAACATTTTTTTCTTTCCTCAAGTCAGACCTTGTTTCTCTTTATTAGGTGCTTTTCGTTTGGAATCTAATATTTCTTATTAACTTCTTCCTGCCTGCTTATCACAAGCATGCATAGGCCATTCCATGATAAGGACAATTTATTTTTCCACAATACACATCAATCTAAAAACGTAAATTGTTCTTGTTAAAATGCTTCATTTGGGGGAAATTTTGGATGAAGTAGCTTAATTGGCAAGCTACTGCATTACAGATACGGGCAGGGCTTGTCCTGGAAATTACCACTCTAAATGTGTGTTGTCTTCAGGTTTTGGGGTTTGGGATTTTGTTGGTGTTGTTTTTAAATAGGGTCTCACTATGTGGCCTTGGCTGGACTGGGACTCTGTGTAGACCAGACTGACCTCAAACTCCTGAGTGCTGGAATTAAAGGCATGATTCACCATGCCTGGCTTCAGTTTTATTAATTGCATTTTAGTAACAAAGTTATTTGATAGCAAATTATTTCATACTTCCTTTCTAAAAAACAATAAGCATTCCAGCTTCCTAGGGGACCCTCTGTACTCTAAACCTTCTGCATAATTATCTGATTTTCCTAACCAGATGAGTTATTTACTCCCTCTAGCTATGTCTATATGAATATGTCTATATATATATATTCACTATGTCTAAATGAATATATATATATATATATGTAAGTGTTTAAATAATTAAATGAACTGATGTATTATAAGAGACCTTCTAGGTAGATCGTAGAGCAAATATGTGGGCATTATTTTGCTATAACAGTTTAGTTTCCTTAAAGACATTGATGTGTGCTAAATTGAATAAAATGCAGCTTTTAAAAAATTCACGGAGCTGCCTCTACTTTTATTTTTTTAATCACTACTTGTTGGTCTTGTCTCCCCGCCAACCCCAGGATGTTGGGGTGGAACCTCAAGCCTAGAGCCATGCTAGGATGTGAGCTGTATCCACAGCCTTGGTGGTCTTTGATAGCAAGCTGATTTTTCTATTCTGCTTTTTTAGGATGTTATCAACTCAATGGTAACAATGTTATTCATGCTTACTGTATCTGTGTTGGCTCTGTTACCAGAAACATCAAAAATGACCGTCCTTGGAGGGGTAAGTAGAAGTCTTTCAGCGTTTCTTCCAGTTTGATCAAAATACACATTTACTGGGAAACCTGAAACAAGTAGAGCAAGCTCCACTGATTTCATGCCAGGAGCTCCTGGATTGGCATGCAGTGCCTGCTGGCTTTATAGTTTGTGTAAGTGAATGCATTCCCTGATTAGCATACATAGACAGGGTTTCATACTGGAGTCCACCAAATAAAGAAGGCCCTGCCTGTTTCTTACAGGGCTATGCCAGACCAAAAGAAGCTGCTAGAATCCGTTACAGCTCTGAGCTCTGACAAACCTGCTGTCAAACAAGAAAATAAACATAGTGAATGGGTTTCATAGTTCTCCTTTTAAAGGATTCATATTACTTGTTAGGTGAGACAGAATATTCTCATAAGTCTTCAGAAGCAATATGACAGACTTCTTTACTGCAAGGGATATGGGAGGAAGCCTCGCAACCAAAGGGTTATTCTGAGCACTGCTTGAAGACAGGCACGTCAGCGTGGTCAGACTTAACGCCTGGCAAGCGAGCCGAAATGGAAGACTGCAGTAATTTCACTATACTTGCACCTGGTATTCTGAGATTTGGCCATTTGGCTTTTCTAGGCTCTAATCTAGTGAACTGAATTAGAAACTTCTTCCTTCCTACCTTCTTGCTCTTTCTTAGCAAGGGCCACATAGAACTGGCCGTGCTCTGCCATGTCCATCAGAACCCTAGATTTCAACTCCTGTAATCATTAAGCAGCTTCATGAGAGATTAAAGAATTTTTCTAGAAGTGAGGTATTCTGAAATACTAATCCCCCTAATTGTTTTAAAGACAATACTGTCTACTATTTTAAAAGATGAACCAGTCATAGCACTCAAATTCCTTTACTTGTCTGTTCTCTCATTTTACTCATTGCTTAAAGGATAACAAAGTAGAACTGTATTAACTACCGTGGCCATTAGCCATGTGGGTACTGAGCACAGGAAAAGGGACTAGTATGACTTGAGATAAGCTCTGAATATAAAATATGCATTGAATTTCAGAGATTTTATTTTCTCCCCAAAAGAAAACAGAGTATTTCACTAATAACTTTTATTAAAGCAATGATCTATAGAGGAATAATATTTTAGCTATGTTGAGCTAAATAAATATACTAAAATAAATTTCGCTTTTTTTTTTCTTTTTAAATGAAGCTCTTGAAAAAAATCTTAAAATTATGTGGCTCACAATGAAGACTTTGTATTCCTTCAGGATGGTACTAGCCTCAGGTTGCTCACATCCTACAAGAGATGGAATGCAACCAGCTGCAGATAAACCCAGGAGATAGAAAATAGCTACTTCTCTCTGGCAGTGGCCTTTCTGTTTGCTCAATTTCCCTTTAGCTCAGTTTTATTCTCCTCAGGCCTGTTTAGACTCCTATGCCTTACACGGAGGTTGCCCAGCCTTTGAGAGTTCACGGTGGAGCACCTCACTTCTACAAAACTTGTATTACAACTGTGGTCCTCAGGACTTAATCTTCAGCCAGCCACTGCCAGCACCAACTCTTTTCCCCAGTCAAGTTTGGTGACAGAAAAACAGCTGACCACTGGAGAGAGAAATGTTGGTTGATAACTACACATGCTCAGTAGGGCTTTAAAGGATGCATGCCAAAGCAAATCAAAATGGAGAGGCAAATTGCGTTCCACCTCAGTTCTGCTCTGCACTCATCTTTCCCTTTAATGTGGGTGGGTATGGGGGAAACTTAGCAATGGTGAAGTCCCTTCCCACTTTCGGGTTGGATGGTAGCACAGAGGACAAGCTCCCTACCCCGGCAGGAAAGGAATCCAATGGGCAGATCACCAAGAATTTGTAGGACAGAAACTGATGACAGTGTCTCTGTTTGCAGGTGTTTGGTCTCCTGACAGTAATATGTGCGATTGTTGATTGTGCCCTGACGTCCCGGAAACTTATACTTAACCCGAGTGGACCTTATAGGAAAAGATCTACTGATGACAACTAATAATTTGTACTCATTTTTACTAGCTATTAAAAACATAATTCTTTATTCTTCCGTATATTTTCTGCAGCTCTCATTTTACTGGCTTTACATCAACTTGACCCACACTAGAGTCCTTTGGAAAGAGGGAACCTCGGTTGAGAAAATGGTCCCAGATTGGCCTGTAGTAAATTTTCTTGATTGGTGTGGGAAGACCAGGCTCACGGTGGGCGAGTGCTGCCCCTGAGCTGGTGTTCCTGGGTGCTGTAGGAAAACAGGCTGAGCAAACTAGGGGTCACTCCTTTTTGCATCAGCTTCTGTTTCTAAGTTCCTGCCTCAAGTACCCGCCCTGACTTCCCTGGATGGTGGGCTACAAGCTGTAAAATGAAATAAACCCTTTCCTCCCCAAGTTGCTTTTGGCCATGCTGTTTTATCACAAATTCTTAGATGATGCGGTAGCTTGGCAGATTTCTGGACCCTGTACTCTACTGGCAGCCTCATTGAATATGGCTCAGGGCTGGAATCTGGCCAGGTATACCCCAAAATGACCCCAGAACCCCTTTCCTCTGGGTTGGCTGGCAGCAGCCCTGTGGGTGCGGTTCCTAGATTTAGAATGTTCAGGCTCGGCAAAGCCCCTTTCCCACAGATCAACAAGGACACCAGAAGACTGGGCTTACACTGCAGCCATCAGGCGCAGATGCACGCGGGATGGGCTGCCAGCAGCCGTTGACGCTAGTTCCCTGCAGCCGCCCCGCCCACTGAAGCCGCAGGGCCAACCTGACACAGGCTCCGGATCCACCATGAATCCTGCATACACCAAACGGGATTCCAAGCCTGATTTCAGCCGCACATCCAGCCGCTCCACATTACAATCTGCACATGCTTTCTCACGCTCGCCTTCAGTGGCATCTGCTGCCTCTTTCGCACCTTCAGCAACTCCATCCATTAGGTCAGAGAGGTCAGTGCAGAAAGGTCAAGGTGCCCAGGAATTACCAAAGAAATCACGCCCTGTAAAAGAGCGGCTGGCTAGGCTAAAGAAGACACTACATCAATCCTTCAAAAAACGCCCTGAGGGCAGGAAAAGGGTCCCAGAAAAAATCAGAGGCAGCCTCAAGGAGTTTTTCTTCTCACCCACTGGGATGCTGAAGGTCTTGAGGATGGTGAGCAGGGGCTGGCTGGCTGGAGGGAGAGTGGTGGCCTTGGAAGTTGACTGCCAAGGTGCTGCTTGAGCAAAGTCTCCGCAGTTCACTTTGCCACAGTTTTCTGACCCTTTCTTGTCCCTAAAACACCTTTTTGTTTTTTGTTTTTGAGACAGAGTATTACTGGCTAACTCTGACCCCAAAACTTGATCAGTCTAGGAAAAGAAAACAAAATAGAGATCTCATGATACCAAAGTAAAGCTAATATACTGGCCCAAGATGCTTAGCAAGTGTGAGATTCCAGGATGGATCCCCAAAATGGGGGGGGGGGAGGGGTTTACCATATTAACAACAACAAAAAACTCATTTGTTCTTTTAAAACATATTACAAAGAGGAAACACAAGAATGATTTCTATTAGAACTCTTAAAATAATCCACCATATTATTACAAATAAACAGTTATGAGACTAAATCAAATAAGGTCTGAGAACATCTGAAAAACTTGAACATTTGTTTCTGATTCCCATAAAGGAGGAAAAAGAAGAGGAGAGGCCTGTAAAATAAGAATAGAGATTTCACTGATATTCTAAAACTAAACATCTTTACTCCCAAAATCAACAAGATCTTTAGATAAACTATCACAAGTACTCTTGTTAAAATGAAAAAAAAAATTATGCCTACCAACAACTAGTGAGGTGCTTTTCTGGAATGACTAAGTCATAATTAAGAAAAAAGAAGAACACTTGAAAAAGGCAAAATATATTTCTTTCCACTGATATAATAAAATCTTAAATCCACTGAGAAACCATATAGAACAAAATAATTTGGCTAGATGACTAATAACTAAAAAGCTTTCCTATAAATAACTAAAATGTAAGAAGTGAAGCATAATGATGAACACCTTAATCCCAGCATTTGGGAGACAGAAGCAACATATCTCTGAGTTCAGAGCCAGCCTGGTCTTCATAATGAGTTCCAGGACAGCCAGAGCTATATAGTGAGACCCTCTCTCTAAAGCAAAATAAAACAAACAAAAAATAAGAAAATATTTCTCTTCACTACAGCCATTAAAATCATCAATATTTAGCAAAGAAGTAAAAATTCAAAACCTATAAGAGAAAACTTTAAAAATTTACAGAGAGGAAAAACACTAAAATAACAGTTTGTTATTGATTAAAAGTTAAGTGAAATCCCAATTAATGAAGAATGCAACCAAGATAAACATGGGCATTATAAACAGTCTGAAAATTAAAGATGAGAGAGCTAGGTGAAACAGTCATACAAGTGATCCCCTACCATTTGAAAAGTACTCTGAAGGCTGGAGAAGTCACTTAGAGCAGTGAAGAACTCTTGCTGCTCTAACTAGGTTTCGTTTCTAGCACTCTTGGCTCACAATCTCCTTTAAATCTGACTCCAAGGATCTGACAGCCTCTTCTGGCCTCTGTGAACACACACACACACACACACACACACACACACACACAATTTTAAAAAGAAAAGTACTCTAAAATTAACAACTCAATGAAAGAATAGACCCAAAAGAGATACAAATACGTCTGAGAGTTTAGTATATGACAAATTTGCATTTTGTGAGCATTGAGGGAAATCCTTGCACCTCCCACTTAATGACTGAGATAATCAGCTGTTTGGACAGAAAGAAAATTGGGTTTCCATCTCATTGTTTCTGTCAAAATCAACATCTATTTACTTAACCAATGTATACTTGGATTTCCTTCTAGAATTACAAACCAGAAGTAGTAATTTCTTTTCAGAAGACAGACTAGCTGGGTATGGTGACACATTATTTTATTTTGATTTTTCGAGACAGGGTTTCTCTGTGTAGCCTTGGCTCTACTGGACTCCCTTTGTAGACCAAGCTGGCCTCTAACTCACATGGATCCGGATCCCCCTGCCTCTGCCTCCCTGAGTGCTGGGATTAAAGGCATGCACCACCACGCCCATCGCCTGTCAGTGACACACACTTTTAATCCCAGCACTCAGTAGGCAAAGGCAGGCAGATCTCTGTGGGTCTGAGGCCAGCTTCTATTGCATAGTGAATTTCAGGCCAGCCAGGGATGCATAGTGAGATCCTATAAGAAAAACAAAATTTAGATTTGGATAGAGAAGGGGAGAAAAGTTTAAAAACTTTTCTGGCCTATGGTGGTGGCAGTACATGCCTTTAATCCCAGCACCATGGAGACAGAGGCAGGTGGATCTTTATGAGTTCAAGACCAGCTTGGTCTACAGAGTGAGTTCCAGGACAGCCAGGGCTATATACAGAGTGACTTAAAAAAACAAAAACTGCTCTGTGTTCAAGCTTTATTATTTGCATAGATTTTAATATTTGCATTTTATTTAATTTCCAAAAATAATTTTAAGTAGGGCTGTGAATATAACTCAGTAGAAGATTTGCGTGCCCAGCATGATAAAGAGCCAGGGTTTGATTCTTAGTACTGAAAAATTAATTAATTAAAAATTGAAAAATACAAACCAGGAATGTAACTCAATAGTAGAGGGCTTACCTGGCATATGCCAGGCCCTAAGCTCAATCCTCAGTACAAATAATAATAATAATAATAATAATAATAATAATAATAATAATAATAATAAATTGAAAAAATATTAGAAGCAAAATATTTATGGGAAACAATACAGGAGTGGGCTGGAAAGACAGCTTGGAACAAAAGTGCTTGCCGCAAGGCCTGACCTCCTACATTCAGAAGCTGGGTGATGTGGGTTGCAGCCTGCAGTCCCAGCATTCCTGCAGTGAGATAGAAGGCAGGAATAAGAGCCTGGAGGCTTGTGGGCCAGCTAGCCCAAAGCACATGGCATGGCAGCAAACAGCAAGAGGCCCTGCCTCAAGGTGGAAAGTGAGATCTGATAGCCAAAATTAGCCTCTGATCGCTACAAGCATACTATAACACACCCATGCCCTCACTCACACACACACACACACACACACACACACCACACACACACACACACAGACACCATACACACACACACACACACACAGACACCATACACACACACACACACACACACACACCACACACACACTTTTAAATACAGGCTATTTCAGTATAATAAACTTAAATAACAAATGCTGCCAGTTAAAATGTGCCACTGGTAAATCTAGGGGCATTGAACAAACTTGTTCTTTTCTTGCAGTGTATCATTGCAGGAGCCGTGTATTGTTTCATCGTTGGCCAAGCCGAGAACATGCTTATAGCAATCACGATTCAGGAAACCTTCATCGTCTTATTTTTTGTCATAATATATATGGTATCCCTTCAACACTTGCTGGTCTGTGTACACTGGCCTTTGCTTGTAAGTGTTCATTTTCTTAGTTTAAATGTAAGCTTTTCCCATAACCGCCAAAACAAGCCTGTCCTCACTTTCCTCTAGGGAAGAAAAGAGAGCTCTCTAGACAAGTGCATAGCAGAACTATGACAGAGTGTTGTTCTGGTCCCAGGAGAGAAACCATCCGAAGCCCAGAAAGGTTCCTTGGACTCCTCTGTCATCGTGACAGCCTCCTGCTTTTAGCTGAGAGTGCATAGCCCATCTCAAAGGGCTTGTGGGTTTGAACACGTGCCATGTTTTCACCTTGTCCTAAAGAAGACTCGAGTTAGCCTAGCCCATGGTAAATGCATTTTTTTAACCCATTGCTTATAGAAGAGTGCGTGCTTCTGCTTTTCAAACAGTATCACCCCAAGGAGACTAATGACGCACCCCAAACAAGAGTTGGCATAACAGAATTGTGGAAAATCTTTAGGAAAAAAAAAAAAAAACTCTTATAGATTATAGCATAATCCTATTTGTGTAAATGTAGGGGCTACAATCTTAAGAGGTGGGAGGTTTCCAGGAAGGATGTTGTATAGCTTTTTTCACACTTTCATTACCAACTGAGGATGCCTGACTTGTCCTGGGAGCCCCCAG